TCATACTAAGGATCAGACCAGCTTGGTTCCAACTAATTTTAGTAGGACCGTGGAATTTAGATCAAGAGGAGACCAGAACTCATCTACCCCAGGGGTTCTTAACCATTTTTTGTGTGGGTACCTGTTTGGCAGTCTAGTGAAGACTGTAGACCCCGTCTCAGAATGATGTTTTAAAATACATAAAACTTCATAAAATGCATAGAATAAGATATATGGGATTACAAAAGAAACTAATAATATGGAAATAGTTATCAAATTTTTTTTTAAATTTCCAGGCTGCCAGATTAATAATTCTTGAATTATTATTAATAAATTAATTTATGGATTAATAGTTAATTATTAATTAAGTGTATCCTTCACTAATAAATTTATTATTAATAAATTATTAGAGTATAGAATCATAGATTTGCAGGTGAAAGAAACCTTGGGGTCATTATCTTCACCCCTAAACCTCCATCACTACCTTCCCTATTACTATAGAGGGTACCATTATCCTTCCAGTGCCTCAGGCTCACAACCTAGAAGTCATCTTGAATCCCTCAGTATCTCTCATCCCATCACATCCAAGCTATTGCTAAGGACTGTTTTTTTCACCTTTCCAACATCTTTCTAATAAATGCCCTGCTCTCCTCTGACACTATCATCACTCTAGTGCAGGCCCTCATCACCTCATGCATGGATTGTTGCCATAACCTGCTGGTGGGGCTGCCTGCCTCAAGTCTCTCCCCACTCCAATCTGCCTCCATTCAGCCACTAAAGTGAATTTCCTAAAACACAAGTCTGATCATGTCACTTCCCTACTCAGTAAAGTCCAGTGACCTCCTATTGACTCTGGGATCAAATGCTAAGTACTCTGGCATTCAAAGCCCTTCATAACCTAGCCTACTGCTACCTTTCCAGTCTTCTTACATCTCCCTCCCTGCCATGTACTTTTTTAATCCAGTGACACTGACTTGCTGGCTGTTTCACAAACAAAACACTCTATCTCTCCACTCTGGGCATTCTCTTTGGCTTTCTCCCATACCTGGAATGCTCTCCCTCCTCCCTGACCTCCCTGGTTTCCTTTAAGTCCCAATGGGAGCCTTCCCCAACACAGGACTCCTCTTATATTCCAGTGCCTTCCTTTTGTTAATTATTTCCTATTTATCCTATATATAGCTTGCTTTGTAAATATTTGATAGCATCTCTTCCCCCATCAGATTGTAAGTTCCTTAAAGATAGGGATTATCTTTTGCCTCTTTTTGTATCTGTGCTCTTAGCATAATGCCTGGCACAAAGTAGATGCTTGATAAATGTTGATTGATATCTAGTCCAAACCTTTCCGACAAACTTAGTAAGTAGAAGAGCTTTTAGCCCATGCCCTCTAACTTAAAACCCAATCCTCTTTCTACTACTTTCTACTACTTTCAGGAAGCTAGGTAGCACAGTGGATAGACCACGAAGTCTGGAGTGAGGAAGACCCACTTAGTTCAAATCTGGCCTTAGACACTAGCTGTGTGGACTGTAGGCAAGTCACTTAACCCTGTTAGCCTCAGTTTCCTCATCCATGAACTAGAAACAGAAATGGCAAACCACTGCAGTATCTTAAAAAAAACAAAACAAAACCCAAATGGGGTCAGGAAGAGTTGGGTATGACTGAACTAAAGTCACATCATAGATCATATGATTTAGAGTTGGAAGGAACCTTCGAGATTTGGTCCAACCATTGAGTCCACTCATTGAGATCCAGAAAGTTAAGATGACAAAGGGAGCTAAAGACAGAGCTAGAATTCGAACCCAAGGTCATATGTAGCTAAGTTCTTACCTGAAAATGGGGGAGGAGGGTTGAAGGGAGAGAGAGGGGAGAGGAGAGATAGATAATGAAATGGTTTAGGACTGCATTTTAAAATAGTCTGTCTAGGTTCTTTCTTTGAATGATTGATTCTTGGCTCTCATTTTCAAATGTATATATACAAAAATATCAGTAATTTGAAACCAACTAATTTTAGAATTTGTAGTTATTAGAACAAGGGTTTAGGCTTAAGCTTATCTAGACACTATTTTAAAGGAGTTTTCTAAGTAGTAAATAGTAAAAACAAGATTTTAAGAGGGAATTTTTAACACATTTGTTCTTTGTCAGTCATTTTCAGTCATGTCTGACTCTTCATGACCTCATTTGGGGTTTTCTTGGCAGATACTAGCGTGGTTCACCATTTCCTTCTCCAGCTCATTTTACAGATGGAGAAACCAAGGCAACAGGGTTAAAAGACTTGCCCAGGGTTACACAGCAAGTAAGCATCTGAGACAGTATTTGAACTCAGGAGAATGTGTCTTCCTGACTCCAGGCCAGGTACTCTATCCAGGTGATATCCACTGTATCACCTAGTTGCCCTTAACATACTTAAAGTGGCTAACTATCTTCACACTGACAATTGATATGCTAATTACAAATCATTCTTATCACTAAAACAAATCCCAAAGGACCTCTGGGACAATAGAGTGTTTGCCTAGATCCTCCAATTGCTATACTTGAAAGAAACATACTCCCCTTCCCATTAACTACACATTATCACTGTGAATCTAAATTTTCCTCCAGGTTTTACTTTTATCACTGGAGTTCTATCTTGGTTTTGTTTGGTGTAGGATATAGAAGAAACCTAGTAATGGTCACCTGATAAGTAAAGAAATGCAATGTTGTTTTAAGAATGGAAGGTTGTAAGCAGGGTTTATGGTTTTAGAAATATGTGTGTAAGCATACCTACCTTCTTCCCCTTCTCCTTTCTTCCCTTCCCCCACCTACCTCCCCAGCTTTACATCTATCTTTTATATGTTCTCTTTCCCCTGGAATGTAAGCTTCTTGAAAGTAAAAACTATCTTTTTGCTTGCATTTGTATTCCCAACACATAGACCAATAGCACATAATAAGTGCTTAATTAATATTCTTTCTATCTGTCTATCTAGTTAGCTAACTAGCTGATTTCTAAGATTTAAAGAAAATTAACTACAAGACAAAGAATTACTCCCCACTAAATAGTCAAAAAATTTGAACAAATAATTCTCAAAAAGATCACAAACTATTAACAAGACTATAAAAAATTATTCCAGGTAACTAATGAGAATGGCAAATGAAAATAACAGAAGTTTCACCTCACATCAGTAAATTGGCAGAGGACAAAATATGACAATAATCAATGTTGGAAGGACCGCAACTAGGCGAACTAATACATTATTGGTGGAGCTGTAAAATGGACTAACCATTTTGCAAAGTAACTTTGAATTATCAGTCAACAAGCTATTATTAAGCATTAACTATACACTGATAATATAAAGGTTTAAAAAGAAATTTAAACAATTCTTGCTCCCTAGGAGTTATATTTTAAGCTAAGAATATGATTAAAATGTCCATACTCTTAAGCCCAGAGAGCCTCCTGCTAGGCCTATGTGCCAAGGAGGTCAGAGACAGAAAGTTCGTTCTCCAGAATATTCATGGCCAAACTTTATGGTAGCAAAAAACTGGAAATAGATGTCCATGAATTAGGGAATGGTTAAACAAATGAAAAAGGGTGAATAGTCAGGATTCAGGGAAGCATGGGAAGACTCATATGAACTGATGGAGAGTGACATACCTAGAACCAGGAAAAATAATATGCACAATGCCTATTATAATATAAATGGAAAGATTAAAAGCAAAGATGGACATTCTGTAATTATTATGACTAAGTCATCCTTGAATAAGAAATGAGAATATATACCTCCCTCCTTTACAGAGGTGAACAACTGTTGGTTCTACAAAATTCTGGAAAGCAGTTTGTAATTGTCAATCATTGAACAATCATTTAATAAGTACCGACTGTGAGCTAGCCACTGAGAATACAGTTATCCCTTTCACATCTCGACTTTCCCCTTTGTGGTTTGATATATTGCAGGTTGGCATAAGAGATTAAATGAGAATTTAGGGGGAGTTTTGCAGAAGCCACAGATGACACGCAGAAGGGCAGCAGACAACACAGAAAAAGTTTAGAAACTCAGAAATGCATAAAACATATGTGTAGTATTGTATAATAGCATATTTTATCTTTTAATATTGTAATGATTCAGACTTCTTCTCTGGTATGAAGAGAGGACCAAAAAATTTTACATAGATTTTCTATATCATGGGGATGCCATCCCTCTAACTCCCACCATGGAGAAGGGAGAACTCTACAAAGAAAAAAAATGAAGTGATCTCAGGTCTCAGGAAGCTTTTATATTCTATGCTAAGAATGCAATTAAAATATTAAAGATTTTATTCTTGGCTGATGGCCTGGTTAATTCGCTGAATTGCGTTTTTCCCCATTTTGGGTGCAAGCATGGCTCACTGGATAGGGGTAAGGGAAGGAGTAATACATTTGGAAATTAAGGTGATTATAAATACAAAATGTCAATAAAAAATTTTAAATAGAAATACCAATTTTATTAGCTTATAGTTCTTTTATTCATAAGAGAAATTGCAAAGTTTGAACTTTTTTTGAGGATAGAAAAAGCATATGATGGTGATTAACATAATATTTTCTCATAGCCGCCTTTCCCTGATAGGTTATTACAACATATGCTGTCTGTTTAGGTAAGATTTAGCAAAGCTTGCCTCACATGTAGATACACAGAGCTTTTTCCCAGCTCATTAAGTGACATTGGTTTAAAATATTTTAATCTAAGTCTATGTGAATATTTCCCTTTCCTTTGGTTTATATGTCTTCATAGCACTTGTAACACAGGGGACACAAATCAAGTGCTAGCTTCATTTAAACATTTTAATAATCGAACCCTACATTATGGCTAACAGGTTGTTTTCCTTTTGTGTATATGTTAGCCTTTATTTACAGCTTGTTTCCATCATTTAAGAGGATCCTAAAAGGATTAGTCAGAAAAGGCTGAAACTGAGTGATGGTAAAGCCTTGTTGTTGTCATGCTCTTTTGATTAAATACAAATACTATTCATCAGTATTCATTTCACATTACTATTTTTTTTTCCTCTTTTCTAGTGGGATCTTGTGTGCGACTCTGCCTGGAAGGTCCATATTGCTAAATTTTCCTTACTGGTTGGTCTAATCTTTGGCTATCTAATAACCGGATGTATTGCTGACTTGTAAGTACCAAGCCTATTTGGAGAAAACTTGTCAATGCTCTTTCATTGTTGCTAAAGCTTTTCTATACAGTGTTTTAACTCTCAAAGCAAAATGATTGAATCAGTTATCTGGGTGGTTCAGAACAAAAAGTGTTGACTAAAGCCGTAGTTCTCAAACTTTTTGGTCTCAGGACCCATTTATACTCTTAAAAATTATTGAGGACCCCTCCCCTAGTGTAGCCTATGGCTTGAAGGCCACATGTGGCCTTCTAGGGCCTTGGGTGAGGCCTTTTGACTGAGTCCAAGTTTTACAGAAGAAATCCTTTTATTAAGGGGATTTGTTCCGTGATGAATTCAAAGGACCATACCTGACGATCTAGAGGGCCACATGTGGCCTCGAGGCTGCAGGTTCCCCTCCCCTGGTGTTGGCTATATCTATTGCTATTTAGAATTAAATATCAATTAATAGAAATAAAAACATCCTAGTATTTTTATGAAAATAATTTTGACCTAATGGGTCCCCAGGTCCATAGCTCTTGTGGACCCTTAGGAGTCTCCAAACCACACTTTGAGAACCATCAAACTAAAGTTTGTAAAGTATGTAATGCAAACCATTTTAAAGTGAAACTTGAAGTACATGGATTTTGATTTTCTTAATTACAACTTCAATGTAACTCCTTCCTGCCCTATACCTTTGCACACACGAGCTTCCATCGTCAATATATTGATAACAATATTCAATACACCTTTTTTTTTTGAGTCCCTTGACTCTGCTTAGCACTATGCTAAGAAGGATACAGATGAAGCCTGAAAAATGTTTTCTGCTCTCCATCTTCTCCCTAGGTGGAGGAGACAAGACTGCTCACTACATATCACTACCCAAGGTCACACAACTAGCTAGGTACAATGAGAAATAGCAGATTGATAAATGCCCAGAGGAATCCTACACACAGTATTGTTATAAAGCTTAAAAAGGTAGGGGTCATGTGGGGTTGAGAAATCCAGGAAGCCAGTGTCAGACTTGGGTTCTTCTTTGAAAGATGGATGACATTTGTATAGGAAGAAGGAAAGGGTAATTCGGACATGGGTATTGCCAAACAAAGGTTTGGATGTGAGGAATGAGCATTTTAATACTAATAGATTTGCAAAATGATTTGATCTTCACAATAATTTTATCCTCATTTTACAAACGAGCACTGGGACTCGGGGAGATTAAGTGACTTACCCATATAAGCAAGTATTAAAGGTGCTATTCAAACCCTAATCTGCCTGACTCTAAGACTAGCCACCTTACCCACTAGAATACCAGACTATGCCAGGATTAGTGAAGAGAACAGCCTGGCGAGAATAGAGGCTTCCTGTAGGAGAGTAGGGGCAGCTAGGTGGCTCCATACTGCACAGAGTACCAAGCCTGGAGTCTTATCTTCCTGAGTTCAAATGTGGCCTCAGACACTTAACTAGCTGTGTGACCTTGGGCAAGTCACTTAACCCTATTTGCCTCCATTTCCTCATCTGTAAAATGAGTTGGAAAAGGAATGTCAAACTGCTTCAGTGTCTTTGCCAAGAAAGCACCAAGCAAGGTTACAAAGAGTTGGGCATGACTGAACAGGAAGTAGGAGAGCGAGTTTGTTGGTTAGGTGAGGTGGAGGATAGATCCATTACATCTTAGACAAGTCTTGATTACTGAGGCTGACAAGTTTAGATTTTATCCTGTATGTATTGGAGAGCTATTCTAGTTTTTTGAGGCAGGAAGTAACTGCCTTTTTCATTACATGGCATTTTTGTGATGGTTTTTCAGAATGACCAGGTTAGCCAAGTAAAAACTCATGGTTTTATTTTATTTTAAGGTTTCTTTCTTAAACAATCATTGGATTAATATAGACTTCTTAGTCGTGTTGAAAATAATGGAGTAACACTCCCTGAGTGCTACTTGTTAAAAACAAAAGACCAACTCAGAGAGAAGTCAGGTCAGCCCAGGAGAGCTTGGGGCAGTGCCCTGGGGCAGGCCAAGGGTGGTCAGTGATACCAACAGGATTTTTTTTACACGTCTTTTGAGGTGTAGAAGTTTCTGATCAAAACTATGTATGTTTAGGGGCAACTAGGTGGTGCGGTGGATGGAGTTCCAGCCTTGGAGTCAGGAGGACCTGAGTTCAAATGTGACTTCAGACACTTGACACTTACTAGCAGTGTGACCCTGGGCAAGTCACTTAACCCTGATTGCCTCACCAGAAAAAAAAAAAAAACCTGTGTATGTTTGGAAATTCTTTCCTCTGTTAACAATATTTCTTGTTTGTTTTTTAATTTCTTTAGTCATCTGCTTTTAAATATGATTTCTTTTAACACATTCCTAATGCCTATTATAACCAAGAGGCTTTAGTATGGGTATGCCTGTCCTACTCTTGGCGGCTTTACTTAATCACCTGTGTTAGAAGAGACACAAAGAATGACTTCAATTATCTAAAGCAGGAGTTTTTAAATCTTTTTTTTTTTTGTATCATGGACCCCTTTGGCTGTCTAGTGAAGCCTATGGACCCCTTCTCAGAATTATGTTTTTAAATGAAAAAAATAAAATATATAGAATTACCACAGAAACCAATTATGTTGAAATACAGTTATCAAAGTATTTTCTTCAAAAGTTCACAGACTTCAGGTTAAGAACCTCTATTCTAAAGGGATAGCTACTCCTATTCTCTTAATTATACACGTACTTGTTAGTAACCCATAAAGAAAGGGGTTAGGAGGATGGAAAGTCATGCTGAAAACGACATAAGGCACCCTGCTTTCTAGAAATACTTGGAAGAGACTTTGTTTTCGCTTTGTACTTGTTCCCAAGCCAAAAAAAGAAATGTTTGCATTGGGAAAGAAAAATATCAATTAAAGATGTGGAATTTTATTCACAGTTTGTTCCGTAGCACTTTCCTCCCAGTGACCCTGTGAGGTAGGTAATGTCAACATTAGTATTTTCATTTTATATGCAATGTTTAATAGGTTCAGTGAGACTATTCCCAACCTGCCCAGGTTCACACAGCTAGTAAGTTTGAAACCTGAGTCTTCATGTGCTATATCTGTACCATGCTGTCTGATTCCTGTCTTGCCCCTGGCATTTGTGTTTTGGACTTTTCCCCACATGTAAAACATAAACTTGTTTTTGTCTTTGTGCCTTCAGGGCAGAGGTTCTCATTAACCTTTTGGTGTCCTGGACCAGTTTGGCAGTCTGGCATGGTCCCTTCTCTGAATGATATTTAATAAATAAAGAAATGGATGAATACCTAGAGATACAAAGGAAACTAATTATATTGAAATACAGTTATCAAAAAAATTTTTTTAAGTTTCTGGACCCCCTAGATGTAGAACCCTTGCTCAACTACAATTCAGACATTGTTTACTCTCAATAAATGTTTATTGAATGAGATGTTTTGGTGTGATACAGTGCTGTTACACTCTAAGGAAAATAAAAGGACAAATAAGCCTGTCTTCCCTTTGCAAGACAGATCAAAAGTCTGACAATGTAACTTAAATCTCTTTGTGTCCACCTCTTCTACTTTGAGAAAATCCATGTCTAACTGCTTCAGGTGGCAAAATATGAGGGGGTAGATGAGCAGAGCTTGTTTGCATTCTGACTTTCTGAGAAACTGGTGTCACCTTTCCTTAGTTGAGTTGGGATGCTGTGTTTTTGAGCCCAGCCCTCCATGATTTTATTCCCAGTCTGAGCACTGCTTAACTAAAAAGAACAATGTATAAAGAAAAAAGAAAAGCCACAGATGTCACTGCTGCTAAAATGTGCCAAGAACCCGTGTTTGGTTTTTGTGGCTATTGAGAAAGTAGCCTGAAGAGTGTGTGTCTATGAGGAAGAGGCCCCTGTTACTAGCTTGGCTTTCAGAGGCCGTTGTGCATCCATGGCAAGCTTTTTTCAATGTTCATTTTTGGACCAAACTTCTCTAATAATAATAGTTCACATTGTGGAATATTTTACATACATTATTTCATTTGATCCTTACAACAACCTTGTGAGACGGGCATTATTATTATCCCCATTTTAGAGATGAGGAAATAGGCTCAGAGAGGTTAGTGATTTGCCCAGTGTTACACAGATCCTAAGTCTTCTTGAACCTAAGTCTTCCTAAACCCAAGACTAGTGCTCTATTCACTATACTTCACTGTATACTGCTGTATAGCAATGTACAAAATAACGACATTTACTTATTTATTAAGTGGTAGCATTTCATGGAAGAATTCAATGTACTTGACAATGTATTTAAAAACAAACAAATACTTTTTAATGATCAGAACAGTGTGGGGATTATAATTGCCCAATCTGCAACCACTGAGGCAGAGTTCTAAGCCAATGCTACTTTATTAAAGGGACCATGGTCCCTTCTAATGAAGTAGACCTCAGATTTTCCTCATGATCTGAGATACTGCTGGTCCCCAGGACTGTGTTTTTATAGGGTTTGATACCCAAATATGCAAAAGAGGCATGGTAAAATACAGAATCTCATTGGTTGATAGACCTTGCTCTTGAGGGCCAAAAATGACATATCAACTGAGGAAGGCGGATGTCACAGGTTGGGTGAAGCATAGGGTATCTCCACTGAAAGTGGTCATAGGATGGCCACCTGCTCATATTGAACAAAAAAGAATGGTGTGGAGTTCCCAAAATAAGTTAGGGGACTTTCCAAAGAATCAAGGCATGCTGGATTTGGACATGGAATTTGAGTAAAACATAATGGAGATATCTTTGTCACCATTCTTGCAGTTGAGCAAGTGAGCTTCATAAGTGGTAAACAAGTAGTGAACATTACATTAAAGTTTGAGGCCTACTATAAGAACCTATCTTATCTGATTACCCCTATGTGATTTGTGTAAACTATGAAACTGATTAATGCTGATTGGAATAGAGTAAGGGTCCAAATGAATGATTTCTCACAACAGCTCAAACTGTGTCATGATGGGCATGAGAGAATAGAAAAAACAGGTGTGAAAAACAAGACAAGCGGGAGCATGGGGAGCACAGAAATACA